TTGTCTCAGCCGTCGCCGTGCGGGTTGAGCTGTCCTTCCCTTGGCGAGCTGAGGCAGGATGTGTTGCTGCTCTGCAGACCCCAGGGGTCTCCGAAGCACACTCTCCCATTTCCATTTTCCAAGCCTAGTTAATCCGTCTACAACCTGTCAGTAGGAATGGCTGTCCAGTTACATGTCAGCTGTGCAGGTTGCTCATGGAACAGTGGTGCATGTGCTAAGTGTGTTAACCCCCCCCCAGTGCTACAGCTGTAACGTTCTGAGTGCAGATGTTCTGCGAACACGTAGAGCCACGGGGGGAGACGCAGGCTTCTAGATCTGTGCCTGTGCAGGAGAGCACGAGAAATTCAGCTGAGGGGAGCCAGCGTGTCCATAACCTGACAGGCTGGGAGAATGTGGAAGCATGGTCATCAGGGAAGGTGACACCTTCGGGTGCTTCCTGGGCTTTGGGAGAGGTCGGTGGGTGCAAGGCAGAGCTCTGTGTGGGCAGGGGCATTTATTTGTGCCGGGGGGTTCAGTGATGAGGCAAGGCACCTTACACTTGGGATTGACTCTCTTCTTTGTGAATTTACACTGTGAAACATCTACCCCCCTCTCCCCCCCCTCCCCTTTGGCAAATTATTTTAGATTTACAGGAGCTTCTTGAAGGGGTCTGTATTTTAAAAAATACCCCCAATGTGCTTTTCTAATCTCCAGGAACTCATTTCCCAGGAAATGAGATTGGTGATTCCCAAGTTGCAGGTGGATGCAGCAAAGGATTTCTCTCTCTCCCACCAGCTTGTTACCCCAGCAACAGGGCACTTTTGGCGTGTGTAGCTATGGATTCCCACCTCAGTGCTGTGGTACATGGGCTAGAGCTGTCAGAGAGTGGAATCCGGTGGGGGCAGCAGAGGGGTGGGGTGGAACGTGGGCACTGGCACACAGGGAGGATTCCACCTGCATACTGAGCAGGGTGGCTGTTTTTCTGGGTTTCCTACGCAATGCTCTATAATCTGAATCAATACGGGGAGGGAGGAACGCCAGCCTGTGTTCTTGGCTGCTGTGCCAGGCCAGGTCTGCACGCTCTGCCCTGCTGGTGCATCCCCACCCTGACCTGTCAGCCCCTTTGCTGGCCCACCACCTGTGTCCAGCAGCATCCCCTGGCCCTGATTTGCAGGAGACCTTGGTTGTAAAGGGATACTGTACTTTTTGAGTCAACACATCATGTCACGCTGATTTCAGAGGCTACTGTCCTGCAGAGGGTGAATTCACATATTGCAAGTAGTGCCCTTGAGGGGAAAGGCTCTGTACCCTACTACCCACCAGCTCCCAGCCATGCTGTGCTCAAAATACTGCTCAGTTGTAACAAATCTTGCTCTCCAGAGGGTGGGCGAGTGGGGGATTATCTGGGAATGGGGGTTGTAACTAGGCCATGCAATATAATCTCTGAGGCCCATTTGGCAGGGAGTGGGCATGGGGGAGGGTTTTTTAATTTGTAATGATTTTCTTCTCTCTCCCCTCCCCTTCCCACCTCCTACCCCTCCCCTTTATTTCTCCCTTTCCCTGCCCCGGAGCCTGTGTGATAAAGATTAATTTGCTATTTCTGGGCCTGTGACATTTTTCAGAGCCTCCCGCTGGCTGCTGCCTCCATGCCAAGCCTGGCTAGGCTCCAGGCAACGGGATTAGCAAGGAGGGGCCAAGGGAACATGGTGCTCGCCATGGAGTGGGGAAGGAAGAAGCAAGGGACTCTCAGAGTAGGTTATTATACATGTGGGCTGACTGACTCAAAGTGTACCTGGGCATGTGTGTATAGATCCTGGGCCCTGGTCCAGAGGATGTGAGGCATAAGTGATAATGGCTGCATGCAAAACTTGTCCCTTGGGAACACCCCAAGGGAAGATGTATCTCGGATCCTTTAATTATGGCTTCAGTGAGCTAAAAGATTCAGCATTTGGAATCTGTCTCCAGAATCAGGCTACTTTGGACTCTTAATTTCATTTTTTAAACCACTCCAGCTGTCTTGGGCACCCAGGTGCCTCTCCACAACCAGACAGTAGTGAGAAGGCCTGAAGGAAAACAGAATCACAGAGTGTTTGGAGTTGGAAGGGACCTTAAATATCGAGTTCCACACCCCCTGCATGGGCAGGGATGCCTCCCACTAGAACAGGCTGCTGAGAGCCCCATCCAACCTGGCCTTGAACACCTCCAGGGATGGAGCCCCCACAGCATCCCTGGGCAGCCTGCAAATGCTGAGAAACTGTGCATAAGGGACTTGCAGACATGAAGATGGTAAACATTTAACTCTAGGAAGTGTGCAGAAACAACTGAACAGCCAAATGAAAAGTAACAATGCCAATAAAGAGAGGAGAAAGGAATAATAATAATAATTTTTAAAAAATCATAGAATGTCTTGGGTTGGAAGGAACCTCTGAAGTTCACCTAGTCCAACCCCCCTACAATAAGCACGGACATCTCACACTAGAACAGATTGCTCAGCCCCATCAAGCCTGACCTTGAATGTCTCCAGGGATGGGACCCCCACCACCTCTCTAGGCAACCTGTTCCAGTGATCCAAATCCACCCTTTTCTAGCTTGAAACCATTAGCCCTTGTCTTATCTTTACATGCCCTTGTGAATGTATCTTCCCCAGCCTTCTTGTAGGGCCCTTTCAAGTATTGGAAGGCCACTATAAGGTCTCCCTGCAGTCTTTTCTTCCTCAGGCTGAACAACCCGAACTCTCTCAGCCTGTCTTCATAAGAGAGGTGCTCCAGCTCTCTGATCATTTTTGTGGCCTCCTCTGGACACGCTCCAACAGGTCCACATCATTCTTGTGTTGGGGGCTCCAGAGCTGGACACCGTACTCCAGGTGAGGTCTCACCAGGGCAGAGTAGAGGGGCAGAATTACCTCTCACATTCTGGCCACACTTCTTTTGACACAGCCCAGGATGCAGTTTGCCCTCTGGGCTGCAATTGCACCTTGGTGGCTCATGTCTGGCTTTTGATCCACTAGTAGCCCCAGGTCCTTTTTCCACAGGGCTGCTCTCCAGTGTGACCTCCCCCAGCCTGTAGTCTTATCTTGGGTTACCTTGGCCCAGGTGCAGGACCCTGCACTTGGCCTTGTTGAACCTCATGAGATTCACCTGCGCCCAAAACATTCTTCTGGTGAGGTCTCCCCAAGAGCCATGTAGAGTAGAACTAAAGAAAGATAACTTCTTCCTCCCAGCCTGTTTTAGACTTCTTTATTTCCAGAGAAGAAGGTGGGGAGGGATGGTTGTTACTGGCCACTGGCTGATATTCTGCTGCTTTCCTACTGAATCTGCTACTGGCGGCTAATTCATTCTTGTGCTCCATCCCTTCCTAACCCCAAACCCACCTCAGCAAACAAGCACAAACCCTGGATTGAAGCCGAGTATCAGGGCATTGTGATGGAGAACGACAACACGGTCCTGCTCAACCCGCCGCTGTTCGCGCTGGACAAGGACGCTCCGCTGCGCTACGCAGGTAAGTGGGCAGTGGCTCTGGCAAGGGTGGGGGGCAGGAGACACCTCCAGAGGGGCAGAGGCAAGGTGACTTTCATCCCTGCGCTGGATTCTAGCTCCCTCCAGGAAACAAGGACGCCCAAGCCTTGTTCTGGAGGAGGTCCCCAGTGAAGCCTGGAGGCGAAGGGAGCACAGCTTGACTGAGGATGCTGTGAGCTGTTTCCCTGAGGGAGAGCAGCTGAGGGTGGAGCCAGCCACTTCTTGACGCAGTTCTGCTCTTTGCAAAGATCACATGCAGAGCTCTGTGCCTGTGAGCACTCTTGGAGGAAGCTGGTAGGGCACACTGGTGGGGGTGGGTGAGACATTGTGGATCTTAACGCTTTGGCTGCCTGTCTTCAGTCTGTGGCCTGTTTTGCCTTCCTGAGGGGTGCAGGGGAGAAACAAGGTGCTCCCTCAGTCCTGTGGCTGTGTGGCACTAAGTCTAGCTTGAGCCTTGTAACCTCTCATCTTTCGTGGTGCTGGTCAAGGCTCCTTGCCGTAGCAGTGGCCTCCAGAAGAGGGCAATCTACACCATTAATGGTTGTAAGAGATGGCAGGAGCAGCTGCTGGGGCACCAAAAATGTCTCGAAATGGGAGGTGATAATGAGGGAGAGTGGTGAGTGTAAGAAAGGAATAAAATACAGGATAGAGAAGCAAGGGGGCATATTGTGCTCTCTTCAGTCCTTTTCTTTCTCCCCTTCTCTTCCCCCTTTGTGGGTACCAGGTGAAATTTGTGGCTTCAGGATCCATGGGGCAGGCGTACCTTTTGAAGCTGTGATCCTGGACAAAGCTACAGGTGAGGGGCTGATACGGGCCAAGGAGCCAGTGGATTGTGAAGCACATAAGGAGCACACGTTCACCATCCAGGCTTATGACTGTGGAGAGGGACCCGATGGAGCAAACACCAAGAAATCACACAAGTAAGTCCATGCAGGCATTGCTGCATGACACAAAATGCAACCTGTCACAGAAACACAAATGAAAATGGCTGCTGAAATGCTTCCTTTAGCCAGAATTATTTTTCTCCAGCCTTGATACAGTAGCTCACCATCTTAATAAGACCCAAAGAGAAATGTTCACTGTCTGAGTGACGTGAGTGAATGCAGTAGCAATGAGAGCTGCTTGATGGTTGTATCTAAGGGTGGTTTGTGTTGCTGCAAATAGCCAGAGGTCTGGATTACACTGTTGTTCCTTTTGCTCCTCCCTTGGGCTGGGACACCGTTGTCCAAACTCCTGGGTGCCAGCGTTGCTGCGTTGAAACCAAGGCCTCTCTCCTTGCCCTTGCTTTTGACACTTGCAGATCAGACCTATGCACTTCAGTGGGTTTCCAGCAAAATCCAGGTGGTGTGTAGCTCCTAACCAGTTGATCAGTTGTTCTTGGTGTCTCTCTGCATCAGGGCCACGGTGCACGTTCGAGTAAATGACGTGAATGAGTTTGCTCCTGTCTTTGTGGAGAAGTTGTATCGCGTGGCAGTGACGGAAGGGAAGCTGTACGACCGCATCCTGCGTGTGGAGGCCATTGATGGAGACTGCTCTCCACAGTACAGCCAGATCTGCTACTACGAGATCCTGACTCCCAACGTTCCCTTTCTGATTGACAACGATGGTAAGAATCTGCACCTACCGTGAGCACGTCACCCTCCTTTCTTGATTTGCTCCCTCCCTGCCAGCCCCATTTGCTGGCAAAGCTGTGCTAGGTGAATTTTCTAGCACTGCTGACCTACCTCTCCTGGTGCAGAGGTGCAGCAGCTGTTTTGTGGCATGCATGCTGCTTGTCACAGGGTAGCACTGCCCAGGGGACTCGGCCCCTTTTTCCTTGTTCTTGTGGCTGATCAAAACCAGGAGTGGTTTCTAGAGGAACATCTTTGAGGAACCTGTCTTTCCTTTCCCCTGGTCTCTTTGTTTTGCTAACCAGGGAACATTGAGAACACAGAGAAGCTGCAGTACAGTGGAGACCGGCTCTACAAATTCACAGTGACAGCCTATGACTGTGGGAAGAAGCGTGCTTCTGATGATGCTGAAGTGGAAATCCAGGTGAAACCCACCTGCAAGCCCAGCTGGCAGGGTATGAAACCTCCAAACAGTTATGTCTTCCCTTTTCTTTTGCTGAACGACTACTGAGTCCTGCTCACTGGAAGTGTTTGCACATACACATACAAATTTGTATGCATGTATCCATGGCTCAGTTCTGGCACCAGCCTGTCAGCCTCATCTAGGGGGATGGAGCAGACATCTGAGTCTGTAACAAAGTCACTGGGAGGCAATTCTGACATTTTAAAATAAGTCTTTGGATTACCATGACCTACGATGTATTGGGCAAGGTGCACATACTGTGGATTGTTTTGGGGGCTGGTCATCTTGAGGATCTTTGGCTTTTCGAGAGTTGCTGTGTGCCTACAGGTTCCCTGTAGTCAACAGAATTACAGGGAAATAACTCAGCTCTGCCTTATAAGAGGGGCTGACAATCCAAGGAGTGATGCTATGTTTGTACTAGCTGTGGAAGACGAGAATTTGGACTCTCTGCTTCTAGGAAATCTTCCCTTGCACTTATACAAGCTGCACGAAGTTGTCTTTTTGTTGTGGAAAGGGCAAAAAATCTCTTTTTTCAGGCTAGTCCGTAGATGCCACTTGTGTTTGTGCCAAATATTCCATCCTTGGCAGGACCTAACCCCTCATTCTCCTTCCTTAGGCTGGAACAAGAGGATTGAGTACCCCCCGGGTGCAGGCAGCCTCGCGCTCTTCCCCAACATTCACCTGGAGACCTGTGATGAGCCCCTGTGGAATATTCAGGCCACGGTGGAGCTGCAGACAAACCACGTGGCCAAGGGCTGTGACCGAGATAACTACTCCGAGAAGTCCCTACGCAAACTCTGCGGTGAATTGCCTTTTTCCTGGGCTGAGGGCAGCTCTGGCACAGCACCCTCCCCCTGGGCCGGTTCCCAGAGGCAGCACCGTGCCTCACACAGCAGAGATGCTGAGGGACACATTGGTCACATCTGCTGTGGTTGCTGGGGCTGGAGGGACACCTGACTTGTGTGCTGCCTTGAGGGGCAGTGGGCACCCTGCCTGTATTTACAAGGGGCTTCCTGTGTGCTCCCTGCTGGGAAGCCAGAGGTTTCTGTGCATTGCCCTGTTACACAGGGTCTGTGGGACTTCCCTTAGCCCAAATGGAAAAGTCACCATCCTCCAAATAGAATCACAGAGTTACAGAATCACAGAATGGTAGGGTTTGGAAGGGACCTCTGGAGATCATCTAGTCCAACCTCCCTGCCAGAGCAGGATCCCATAGAGCAGGTCACACAGGGACATGTCCAGGCAGGTTTTTTATGTCTCCAGAGAAGGAGACTCCACAACCTCCCTGGGCAGCCTGTCCCAGAGCTCTGTCACCCTCACAGTAATGAAATAGTTTCTCATATTTATGTTAAACCTCCTGTTTACCAGTTTGTGACTGTTGCCCCTTGTTCTCTCACTGGACACCACTGAGAAGAATGGACCCATCCTCCTGACACCTGCCCTTTAGATAATTACAAGCATTGCTGAGATCCCCCCTCAGCCTCCTTTTCTCTAAGCTAAACAGACCCAGCTCTCTCAGCCTTTCTTCATAGGGTAGAAGCTCCAGTCCCTTAATCATCTTAGTGGCCCTGTGCTGGACTCTCTCCAGTAGTTCCTTGTCCTTCCTGAACTGGGGAGCCCAGAACTGCACACAGTGCTCCAGGTGGGGCCCCACCAGGGCACAGTGGAGGGGGAGGACGGCCTAGAAAGCCCCAGAGGCCGCTCCTTCTCTCCCTGTGCTCTGGGATGTTACCAGCCCTCTGGTGCCTTTTTCATCTGTTGCCAGGTCCCTCTGCTTCCTGCGCTGACATTCCTGACCCCTCTCCTCGGCAGGTGCTGCCTCGGGAGAGATTGACCTGCTGCCAGTGCCCAGCCCCACGGCCAACTGGACGGCGCAGCTCTCGGTGCACTACAGCCAGGACAGCAGCCTCATCTACTGGGTCAATGGCAGCCAGG